ATATTCCTAGGGCGAATATCCTGGGAATATCGCCTCCCAGGGGGGTGGGGCAAATACCCTAGGAATATCGCCCCTCTTTAGGACATTCGCCCCCCATATATGCGATGTGGTTTATTCAAATAATTTTGTGATACTTTCATCTTATTATTGCCTTACACGTTTGAGAATTTAACTCTGCAAAACTAAAGCTTTTTTGTCTTTTTTTGAAACGTATTATTGGAGTATTGGCAAGTTTTACCATTCGGAGATTTACAAACTAATATTGAAACTGTAAAAACAGTTTCATGTATAGGCGCATTCACTAATGAGTAATGACAACTTATAAGCCATACATTTTTCGATAACGACAGAACCCTTGTGCAGCCTTTAGTCACTCTTAGTGACTAATAATTTTTTTTGAGGGGGGGGGGCAACATGGGGGGGGGGCAAAAAATAATTTGGGGGGTCGCATTTGCCTCCCCTTGCCCCCCCCCCTGGCTGGAGAATTTAACTCTGCAAAACTAAAGCTTTTTTGTCTTTTTCTGAAACGTGTTATTGGAGTATTGGCAAGTTTTACCATTCGGAGATTTACAAACTAATATTGAAACTGTAAAAACAGTTTCATGTATACGCGCATTCCTAATGAGTAATGACAACTTATAAGCCATACATTTTTCGATAACGACAGAACACTTGTGCAGCCTTTAGTCACTCTTAGTGACTAATAATTTTTTTTGAGGGGGGGCAATATGGGGGGGGGGGAATAATTTGGGGGGGGGTTGGGCATTTGCCCCCCTTTCCCCCCCCTGGCGCCGCCACTGATAAGAATTAATTTAGTATGAGAAAACCTAAAGTATAGGGCAAGTTTGTTTCATTTGTTTTTATATGACTTTGTAATAATGTAGACTTTGTTCTTGATGTTCAAATCTTTCCTATGCATTGTTTGCGAAAGTTTCTTAGTTAAATTAAGCTTTGTAGAAGTTTATGATAAAAAGGAAAGCAAATTATTTTCATAGCGTCCTATACGAATTAATTAAAAACGTTTTACGTAGAGTTTCGTTTTGAATTTTACATTGAAATAAAGCCCATAGAAACCAAAATATTACACCTACTTTATATATTTTAGAAATTGATAGTTCTGTATTTAAAAGTGTTCAAATTTCATCTATTTTTACCCGGTTTGCACAACAAATTAAAAAAATAGGTACGCGACGCGTACATGTATCTGCGAAAAAATTGTGATTGACATTTTGTATTTCTTGAAAGGAACTGAATAATGAAGACAACATGGGACAATTGAAATATTTCATCACTTATTATAATATAATAGCAAATGCACTGTACACAATGCATAGGGCAGCAGGGGCAACTGTAACCTGAGATCAGGCTCCATTTTAAAAATAATAGCCTGGCATATACCTTAATATGATCGCTTTCCACCCTCCGAAAAATTTATATTTAGTATCCAATCAAAATGTCGCAGGAAAAATTTAATTCACACAAAGACAACAACAATCTAATTATAGTTGTGATCACTATAAAATATATCAACAACAATGGTATAATCTTATTAGCACCAACCAATCAAATGATAGATAATTAATTAGCACCAACCAATCTGATTTAACAACCGAAATACGGTTGCACTGCATGGACGTTTGTTAAGGTTTGCATCAGGCCTATTTATTTATTTATAGGCCTGATCGCAGGTTAGGGCAACTAC